CTGCGAACTCCCTTAAAAATGAAAATAAAGATTATGAGTGCCATTATGGAGACCTGTGATATAGTTCTAAAATCATTTCACGACTAGAAAGCAAATTAATCATGATCGCTACTCGATCACTCACATCTCTATTCGAGAAGATAGAATGCCACTTCTTGCAGAGTTTACCAAAAACCCACACCCATCATATATATTTAAAAAAAGCAGTTGATACCAAGGGGTTCAGAGATGTACCTGGGCACAGTAACCAAGCTTGTAGTCTAGACCCCAGGCATGAACTAAGTCATTCTGCTCAGCAAAAAGTGAAGTCAAATTCAGGCCACGGAAAGGAGCTCCGCGAAAAATAAACTGAACCCGAACAGCAACCATAGTCTAAACCAGATGTAAAGAGTTCAGAGATTGAATTGGAATACACATGAGAAATATTCAACAGACGATATATGAGAGCTAGTGTGCTTTGAGGACGAAGTGGTATATTCGATTTTAACAAAATAGGTGACTGGCAACAGTTCATGGTTTTCCCTTAAGCAGGTTGGACAAATCTCCACACCGCTCTTGATGATAACAAAGAACTAGTATTTTTATCACCGTGTCGTTGCAGTCAGCCTCTTATGATCAACAACCGGTAGGTTTCTTCCAAAGTTCACAAGTAGGTTTGTCTTCAGCTCCAGCATAAAAAGGGCTGCTTCAATTTACATACTCTAACATCGTTGTCTCAACTTCATGATTAATGAAGACTCCAATGCAGAGCTAAACAAACCTGAATCATGTACCAAGTGCACCTCCACGCAGCCCGAGAAAACACTGGAGCCATCATATTAACCCAGAAATATCAGTCAGAAAAGTCCAGATTTCCATAAGACCAGGATTTTTTTCAGAAGATCTTTTCCCGAACCAGGCCTGATCTCACGGAAGATGATAGACAATGTCATGCTTTTGATACTAATCTCCACTTACCCTGTACACGGAGGACCGGTGCTATTGGCGTTACATGAGTTCCATCCAGTTCCTGTTATCAAGCGTCTGCATTTACATTCAGATGATCAGAAACGTTCATGTATCATAAATGAAGAAACATACTCAACGAGAAATGTCCTCAGGTTCAAACCTGACAGGAGCAATATGCATATACATATAAATACAAAGCAACAGACAGGCCGCTAATACTCAGGGTCTAAAGAAGAGCAATGATCTTTGATAGAATAGATCATGTTAGCATCTGTACCCTGCTATCAGAGATCAGACTAGTTGACAAATAAGAATTTGCTCTTGCCTGTGAACTCTCTCTGTGGGTTGGCGTACAGTTAAAATGTGGTGAACCTCTGAAGAGCTTGAAGCGAGGGCAGGCTGAGAAATCTCAAGTCCTTCATCTTCCATGATGTTTAGATATCTGTCGCCGATGACAAGAACTTTGTTTAGGCCCGAGGTTGCACAAGGATGATATCTCTTGTACTGCAAACTTTTAAGTACAAACCTTAACCAGCTGAAATGTAGAACGAGAGCATACACCAGTTAAGTTCATGAATTTCTTGATTTATGAATCAACAGTTGTACTTCAGGGTGGTTACTTAGAAGCTTAATCACTTCCTTACAAAGATAACACTGCAAATGGGCTAACAACGTTCCAACCGGTAAAACAAGCAAAACAAGACGATGTTACAGTATTTTCATACCTGTCAGCGTGGAAAACTTCCACCCCGAGATCTTCGTCCCAGAGGAATATATAATTGTACCTCGCGACGATGTCCGGGTGCAGAAACCGCTTGGCATACCACCTACCCAGAGATGTGCTCAAATTGATTATTTAAAAATTGGTTGTTTTGGAATTAAGTACGTAGACGAATCAACAACCAAGTGACGTCCCAACCACTCTATTGTAGTCTATTAAGTTGGCTATCGATTAAAATAAATGAGACCTCCTGGTGTTAAGCCAGAGCCTAAAGACATACAGGTATCAAGTAGCTCAAAATTCTGCAGAAAAAAAAAATTACCCCTTGGCCATGCAGAACATGTCAGAGTTGGATGAGACAGCTTTGGATATTTATGAATAACATGATTCCGAACAGAAAGGAACCTTCTCTAAGTGGTTCCCTATTAGAACAAAGACGATCCAACCGAAACAAGAAAATACACTTATGACGAGATCGGTTCCGTGAGACCAGAATTTCACTATCAAATAGAGCTCCATTCAATCTACAATCGTTTGACTCCTGGTTACGAAAAGCAAAAAAATGTGCTCACCATTTTGTCTGATTGGCAGCCATTACATGAATTGCTTGAGGACTCCACTCCATATCCATCCACGCGTCTACTTGTCCATCGTAGTGGAAGAGCATGATCGTAAAATTGTCTGCGGGGAACTGTTAGAGAGCTAGTGAGATCTACATAGGCATCATGGATATTGTACAAGATGAAAATGGTATCCACACCGTAAATCTGGACAAGATTGATATTTTTCAAAATTACATGCAGAAAGCTGCGATTACGAAAACATTCCTTTACAGAATGTTCATTTTGATTGTTGGTTATCTTTATCACAACCATCTGTATCCAGATTTGGATTTGATAAAGATAAACCACTTCACCAGAATTCAAATGTTTTAACTACTTATCGAAAACGTATAATCTGAAAATGCACCTTCTGGATTATTTTATCCACATTGCTTTTCTGCTTGATACCAACAGCCATAGCAAGAAGGTTTTGAGACATGGCTTCATCCTGCACACAAAACAACGACCTTCAAGAGTTCATCAGTTTTTTTGAGGGATGTACTGCTCATTTGCTCCTGTCTAGATCAATAAAAGCACCATATTGTGATAATTTCTGTAGAACACATAAGAATTGACCCATATGCACCAACAACGAAATAATGAGAAGCGCTGAGCCAGAAAAAAGCGTCTGACAAATTAGAAATCGGTTTGACTGAGCAGTTTAATTGAACAAACAATTGAGTTAGACAGTAGAAAAACAACAGTTTATCTGATGAAGCGAATCTACCACAGTGAGGAGATCACGTTCTTACGTTTGCGGAAACCTTCCATAAGTGTCTACGTTCAAGGTCTGAAGTAGCCTTCACTATTCCACTTGGCAAGGTTTCAGTACCCTCTAGTTTTCCAGGTTTCGGACATTCGTTCGGACGTTCTTTGACTGGTGAAGCTTGCGCTTGTACCTGCAAGCAGATAATCTTCATCATGCGTTTGGGTAGAAGTCCTAATGTTAAGTCAGATCTTCCGGACGAGAAACAAAGGACTTCCTGAAAATTAATGTGCTCATAGGTAACTCAGAAAGACGCGAAACTGCCCGCTACTCAAATTAGAAATAAGGTGCAAAAAACCGAAGCTCAAGGTACAAACTGGGTTCATCAGATGAAGCTCCTCTCATCCACCACACCTTGCAGAACCTACTGAATAGCAAGGTTCGATTGTGACAGAAACAGGATAAACACGGTTGAGTCCCATAGTGTTCCGAAATCAAATGATCAGAGGGTGCAGCACTGGCTTATAAAAGTGTCGCTTTATATTCTAACTGAGGTAAGTCTTACGTTTCCGGCAAGGACTGGGCGATTATTAGAGATTTTCGTTTGGTATTCTTGGTGCGACATCGTGATAACATGCTGTTTCATAGCGGGGTTCTCAGCGCATTTTAAATCGCCAGCACGCTCAGAACTGTCACGTGTATAAATGTGGTACTATCGAAGCACGAATGCTTTTGCAATTCGACTGCGTGTGGACGTTGAGTTCAAGAGAATCTTTACGTGGAGCATAAATTGTGGATGTGTTATGAGAGTTTTCCCTTCCGTATTCTTCACGCTACAAATAACATGCTTCACGCTATTCCGTATTCTTCACGCTACCTGGTAACATGCTTGTGCTGGCAGTGATCTCAGCACATTTCAAATCACTAGCACGGTCAGAACTGTCACGTGTATAATGAATATGGTGGCACCAAATCTCTTGCTATTGGACTGTGCGTGGACTTTTAGCTACAGAGACTCTTCACGTCTAGAACAAAATTCGCTAACCCAAATAGTCTTCCGAGATCAGAGACAATAACGATCATAGTCATGGCGATGAGATGAAAGGAGAAAAATATCAGTAATCTATTTCATACGGTCAATCCACATAATTTATACCTTTTTAAAATAGGCCAGAAAGCTTCCTTCCAATACTTCACATCAACCTCAATCAACTTGAGCTAGATCCAGAGCTTCACTGCAATGTACAATTAGTTTGCCGAACCAGATCTCGGATGTCTTCATGCTCCCACGTCACGTCATGCAGTGTTCAAGATGCGCGGGCGTGGACTTTCCTAATCTGTACTTTAAAACACGAGTCGGGCATTGCAGCGGCAGTCCCTTGAAGAGATGAACCCCGCCGCGCGGACGACTTTGTCAAATGTTGGTCCTGTGATTGAGGTTGAGGATGATGCAGAGTTTGTGAAACTTTGCTTTCTTATACTCGAAAATTATTCTAATTATTGGCGGGCCTGGCAACTTCGCACAGGTCTGCAGAAACGGCAGCAGACGTGTTTCTGGTGGCGGGATTGGTGATGCTATGAGCTTTTATCTGGTGAATAGTCAGTCTGTCACCTTAGCTGTCTGTTATCCGACTCTGTCATCTTTGATCACCACTGCCATCTCCGTCTACGTTCTGAACACAATCATTATTTTCTATGGAGCATCTGCGTCTGTCCGCAGTTCGAGGAATATTGCCGAAGATTTGAGTTCGACTCACTCAAACAGGTTTTAACCTGTGACCCTTACTATAACTCTAATTTACAATCTTATGTGGTTCATCCAAAGCCTCAGTTCATCATTTACAAACACTTGGGTGAATAATTTCCATTGTATGCCGACCGTCCACATTTTGCCTGCTCCGGGTTACAGGCAATCTACAGCTGATGCTGCGCGTTGTTTGCCAGACGCTGACAAACCACTCAGTGGAGGTTTCCTTCAAGAAAGACATTTGCAGCCTCTCCGTCATATTGATGGAATTTTGCATCGGAAATCGCTGCCACCGCAGTTTCTCGAAAACAGCAATCTTACTACATCATGGTGTCTCTGGTCTCAGAAAGGGCAATCAAAGCTCACTCACAGGGAAGAGCGAAGCTTCAGGGTAGAGCATGAAAGACATTTGCAGCAGGAGATGAGAGTTTTACAGCTGCCACAAGTCTTCCATTGTCAGCGTGCTTCAGTATTCTCAGGTCTTCGGTCACATGGGTCCTGACACGGCCTTGAATTTGTCCTGAGAAACTGCGCATAAATGACCAGAGATTTGCAAAACACACAGAGACTGAAGAGGTGCAGCCTCTCCGTGATATTGATGGAATTATGCATCGGAAATCGCTGCCACCGCAGTTTCTCGAAAACAGCAATCTTACGACATAATGGTGTCTCTGGTTTCAGAAAGGGCAATCAAACCTTCGCTACCAAGGGAGCTCTCGCAGCAGGATCGAGAGGAATTGTCAATCACAAACAGTGAGGGGTATGCACAATGAGGCCCTTCTGTTCCACAGAAGCCACCGATTTCTTCCATTTCCATTCGCCGCGAGTTAATGGAGGATCGATCTTTCAACTCTACGCGATAAACGCGAAGCAGATATGAACCTCTCGCACACTCGCACACCACTCACTCATCGGTGGCGTCAGAAGCCGTCCAGGAATCTCCCACTCGCACATTGGCAGCCCATCTGCGGGCACTGGGCTGCTTCTCGACCATCCCCTGGTGCGTGAGTTCGTCAGGCGAAGCCTGTAATCTACATTATTTTGGCATTATAGCTGCGGGAACAGTTAGAATCCAATAATAATACATGAATAGAACAGAGTATCTGTTAAGCGTGAAGTAACATATCTACCATCTTTCTGCTTGTGAGTTAAGAAATAGAGTTAATGAAAATAACACATAGACAATTCATGTGTTTATTTGCCGTCACATCAATCCAAAACTAATGTAATGCATAGTGAAATAAGATTTCATCTCATTGGTTTAAGAGTCAATGAGTATTTCTTTGTGTTCATGATCTAACAGATTTCATTGAGATTGATGGAGCTGACTTGAAATGTGTGTTAAGTGAATTAGCTGGTGCAGTCACAACTATGTTGATTTTTTAATATTTGGGAGTATGATATGTTTCATGTTTGACACCTCTTTTGAACAAAATGTCTAGTAGGCAATAGTAATGTACTCGTACCAATTAACCAGGTGGACTTTTGTGACAATGTGAATTGCAGTTATAAGACTGAAAAAGTATAATTATAGCTCGGGATGTCCTTATCTTAAACCCAATAATATCAAATTATGTTATGGATAAGATCTCTGCTTAGTTTAAGAGTGATCTAAGCTCCAATTGGAAACTGTTGCTCTACAATTGTATTTATGATAATATGTGCCTGTTATGTTTCACGTGCATGAGCAAGATAGATTAGGTGGCCTTCCCTGTAGAGTAGCAGACAAATTAGGTGGATTAACTTGTATATTCAATATACATCTTGTGCATAAATCATTCCGAATAACACTTTCTCGGGTGATTCATTGACTCCACATTACCCCATGCAGAGTAATAAGAAATTATGGTTAGATTGCAGCAATCTTGAGCGTTCAATGGACGAGGCTATTGCTTTTGTCACGGACATGATCAACGAAATTGTCGTTTGCACAGTTGTAAATAGAATTATAAACAAGAACAATGATGGACTTAAACATGTTAAATTTTTTTCTTAATTGGATTGAAGAATCACTATTATCTAGCATTTAGCATCAGAATTATTTCTGAAGTCATGTATACCGCACAGTTTCCCTTGATTTGCAAGCAACTTGGAAAAAATGTTTCTTGAGAGGTTTGACGTTGAGCTCAGCAAGTATCATGCTGGTTCTATCAACTTCTATAAAACGCGATAAACAAGCAAGAGTGCTCGTAGCATGGACGAAATTCGAAATCAATTTCATGTTTGAGGTGTAGAGGACTCGAGACTCTGGAAACTAGAACTGTGCATGAGCTCACATGCTTGACAGTTGAGCTAGAAGAAAAATCATATCAGCAATCGAGAACCTCGATTGTGCTTCTACTCTGTTCAAAGTTATTCGAGATTATGTTTAGTAAACTTCCAGATAGCTTACCAGTTTGTTCCGAACCTACAAGTATGTAAAGTTATATAGACTCCTGTACCGATATTTAAAGAAAAGAGAAAGCACAAGAGGCATTGTCAACCAGGCCTACAGCGCATGTGCCACTGAGTTGTCAGAATCATCCACTTTCTTGCATAGATTAAAATAGAAGATGAACTTTGACATGTTCGTTGTCAGGTGATGACATGGAGTGTATCATCACACTGATGCATTCAGTGTATCCTGTTGGTTGAAAGTCAAGATCTACTTGACTTTCTAATACCATTGTCCAATCGCAGAGTAGGGAGGAGCAGGCTTTTTGAGATAGAATATTGTCGCTCCCTTGATCCTCACACTTTTCAATGACGAGATCCGATTGAAGACGGTGCATGCTCTTTCCCCACTTTTAGATATGAATGTGATTTTAATCAAATAAATAATGTGAAATACAAATAACCTAACGTTATTTGTTTGACAATCAAATAAACCATCATCACCACTAACAATAATGACTTTGCTTGCAAAAGTTTCTTGAAAGATTGCTCTCAATGTTTAGAAACAACAAATAATTCAAACAAAAATATCATATTCACTTTTAATGTTTGTATCATTTGAGTTCTAAAACATCATGATTTTTCTTTCGAAATGAATTTCGACTATAATATTAATTACCATGTAGTTTACATCAAGAAATAATTTTTTACAAAAAAAATTATTAATTATATATATATATATATTTGATTGAGAACTAATTTATGATGTCCATAGATATTATCCTAATCCAAATTTTCATTAATTACACTAAATATAAGATAAAAATATGAAATAAAACTTAAAACATAGATATATTTCTTTTCAAGAATTGTTCATATTTTTCAATTTTTTTTTCAACATTTTAATCAATTATAGATCAAAACAATTAAGCACAAAACGTTTAGTGAACAAAATGTATATGATGAAATTTAAGCTATCATATAAAATTTGAATATATATATATGATATACTAATTGCAAGCATCTTTATTGATGTGTTTTTCAAAAAAAAAAACCTTCACACTATGCAACTTCAAATTTCTGAGTCAATAATTTGAATTTGAAAGATTATTTTGTCTTTTAAATAAAACTTTCTGCAATGCAATCAGAAATGTACTATTCGGATTTATACTGAAAAATGCTCTCATTCTCACTCACATCCCTAAATCCAAAATCTTCATGTATAAAAAAAAGAAAAAAATATAAATTCTCTAATATTTATTTGAAAATTTATATTTTATTATTTTTATTTAAATTAATAAAAAATTATTTTCATTATAATAATATAATTTAAATGCACGAAAATATTGAAATGTATGATTAACTATCTAAAAAAGCAATATTTGGCAACATATCATTCATTCACAAAATCAACATATTTAGCTTATTCATATTTGCATTGTTTTACAATTAGAAAATTGGATCCATTGCAGGAGGGATACGTTGAAATCGTGAAGGCCATGCTTAAAGTGACCAGGCTGTCATCTTAGCAGCACGAATTCATCATGCGATCTCTGTATTCACAGTCATTCATTTTGGCTTTGCAAACTCACCAAAAAAAAAGACCTCCAAACTTCTGCATGCATTCACATACTTGACACAGCTGGGGTAGAAGAACAATCGTACCAGCAGTTGATAACCTCGAGTACTGGTATCCTCTGTACACAGTTCTTCGATACCATAGTTAGTAAAATCCCAAAAAGCTTGTCAGTTTTTTCTGATACTAAAAGTTATTTACAATTATCTACACAACTGTTCTGGGTCAAAAGTAAGAAAAAACGTAACATGCTTATTACAGCTGACTGCGCATGTGCCACTCAGCTGTCAGAATAGGTCCACTTGCTCGAACTGATCGAACATGCCACATAAATGGATTAATAAAGAAGAAAGTTGTAATGGAAGTTGTCAACGTGACGTCATCGAGAATATCATCACACTGACGCATTCACCCACGTTTCCTCTCCGCTTGCGCAACAAAGTCAAGATCTACTCTGACCTTCTAACACCATGTTCCAATCACAGAGTATGAAAGAACACGATTTTTGTGTTCAAATGTTGTCATTGCCTTGATCGCTCACACGATTCAATGAGAAGATCTGATTGAAGAGGATGCATACTTTTTCCCCGTGCTAGCCATCGTAGTGTCTGTCTTCCCGTTGGTCTTGATGCAGCTAGATTCGCAGTCTCCCAGTACAACTGTAGATTCAGTTTTTCCACAACCCAGAGTTCGTCACATCTGAGAAATCTATGACATTTTGCTTTCCCATCGCGCCATCTTTGCTGAGAACTTGATTTCAGGTACTTTTGCAGAGCTATAATCTTGTCCACTCACTTCGATCACTAGTGCACATCGAACCCTGATAGACGTGAAGTCTTTTTTGCCACACGGTCTACGATTTAGCTTGGTACTAGAATCCTGGTCTTCAGTGTCAATTTTGATTCCCATCGCTTGTCCTCCTGCTTCCACTTTGTACAATCTCCTTGCGTTCGTGGTGATTGCTCATGATCCGCGTATCGTCAGTGATATTTTTGTTGCTACTTGTGCGCAGTGCAAGAGAATTTATGCCCAGCAGTCTCACGCAGACGAATTGTGTCACTACGAAGGGAAGATCTGTTTTCTTCGGGAGAGCCGGGCTTTCGGATTGAAGAGAGGGCCTCCTGTACGCGTTGAAGGAGAGAGCAGGAGAGAAAGGAAGGGGCAGGTGCGTCCATCGTCAGTCACGCTCCTGAACTTGCGACACGACTTGTGGAATGGACTCCACACACGAGGAACCGGAGCTTCCCTCCGCCATCCAGGACCTTGTCCAGCGTCTGGAAGGACAAGGCGAGCGTATAATCGCGCTTCCCGATTTAACCGGGTCAGAATTTCAGGAGTTCTTTCCGGAGCGTGCATCACTTTCGACAATCACAGGGTGGCGAAGCCAAGTGCGCCTTCGAGTGCTGGAGGCAATCGGCAACTGCAACACCTTTGAGAGTCTGAACGTGGGAGACATTTGTGGGGACGATATATCGAGGTTGACGGCAAGCGAGTGGGAGATCGTTTTCAGAGGTTTCAGGTCTAGCCCCGTTCTAGAAGAGATATCCCTTCGTTTTTTGAAATGGAGTTCAGATGCGGAAGTGGAGACCTTGTGCTTAGAGCTGGGGAGAATTCTGAACTCCTCTAGCGTTACACGATTAGATGTGTACGGGTGCAGATTGAGTGCCAGATGTTGGTCGAATCTCGCCTCAGGACTGCGAGGACATTCCGATTCTAAACTCCAGTCTTTGATTGTATGGGACGCGTTGGAGGACGAGAGTGCGGTGAAGCATGTGGCTGAGATGATCAACAGTGCTCCTCTATTAGAAACGTTGAGTTTAGAGAAATGGAAGGAGTGGAAGGACATGGAGGACGAGACCGTTGGAATCCTGTCCCAGACGTTGATCCAGAGCTCGTCGTTGAGAGATTTGGGCCTAGGAGGCGCGGGGAAGTGGGGAGGGCCCTTGTTGCTGAAAGCATTGGCCGGAGACGATCGCAACCGATCCATTGAACGTCTTGAGTTGTCGCGTATGGATGGACTCGGAGACTGTTTAAGGGAAATACTTATTTCCAACCCATCATTGAAGGAAGTGAAGCTGTACAAGGTGAAGATGAGTCCTGAGGAATGGCACCAGCTCGGCGAAGTCATACGTGACAATGCTATAGCCACAACTATATATGTTAGCTTTTATGGTGATGACGACTGGAAGTCAATGGAAGCTCTTGCTAGTTCTGCTAGCTCCGATGTCAATGACCCCACACTGGAGCTTGACATAGGGATTTGGGGGAAGGAGGAAGATAAGGTGAAGTTGTCATTAAACCTATTAGGTAGGGTGCTGCGCGGGGAAATCAAATCTTTAAAATCTCTGAGTATAGGGAACTATGAAGATTTTCAGTTTAGAAAATATCTCACTTTCAGTATCCTTCCGATGAATGGGAAAACTGGAGAAACCTCAGTCCAGAAGAGACTGGAATTATTCCTTCGAAGAGAAGATATTTCGAAGGGAGTATTGGAGGAGCTGCTTCGGTGCATGCGAGGGAACCACCTCACTCACTTGGATTTGTGTCACTCCAGACTCGACCAGGAGGCGTTCAGGGACGTGATGGGAGTACTGCAAGTGAACTTGGCTCTCATCAAGGACCCCACACTGGAGCTTGACCTCCAAGCACGGAGTGAAGATGAAGTGATGTTATCATTAAACCTGTTAGGTAGGGTGCTGCGCGGTGAAATCCAATCTCTAAAATCTCTGAGAGTGAGAAACCAGAGTGAGAAACCAATTATCACTTTCAGTATCCTCCCGATGAATGGGAAAACTGGAGAAACCTCAGTCCAGAAGAGACTGGAATTATCTGTTCGAAGCGAAAATCTTTCGAAGGGAGAATGGGAGGAGTTGCTTCGGTGCATGCGAGGGAACCACCTCACTCACTTGGATTTGTCTGACTCTGAACTCGACGAGGAGGCGTTCAGGGACGTGATGGGAGTACTGCAAGTAAACTTGGCTCTCCAGGAAATCGACGTCTCACGAACATCGTGGGCAACGGACGGAAAGGCGGCGCTGATTCAAGAGTCTCTGCAACAGAACAAGGAGCGGGCCGTCTACATGTCTGTGTTCCGGGAAGCAAACTTAACATTCGGAGATGCAAAAGCTGGCCGACTCTTCTTATGCGGCTCTCCTCGAGCAGGTAAGATGCGCTGTAAATTCTCAGTTTTTTCCTGAATGTACGCCTTTAATCTTAGTTTTACTTTTCTAAAACTAAGATTGACAATACAAATGCTATTTGATATATTTATAATGATTTGTGTATACAAATAGTAACGGAAAGAAAAACAATCAAATTTATAAATCATCAATTATATAACTTCAATTATTTTGGTGATTTCTACTTTTTTCAATCAAATTTATCTTCACATATTAAAATAATACTATGTCATATTGTATCTCAAGAATATTAATTCAAAGCATTTGTGAAGATATCGTTAATAACAAGTTTTGTATTTTGTGATTTGATGTCCAGGAAAAACTCAATTGCGTAAAACTTTGATGAGGATAAATCATAGCTGGCTACACAAAAGCAATCTGTTCAATAGATGGGAGGTATTGTGGAGGACCAAAGGGATTGAAGTGGAGTTTTTGCGAAAAAATGACGAAATGCAAATCTCAGTTTGGGATCTTGCAGGACAATGGATTTTTCGTACCCTTCAAACTGTACTTTTCCCTCAAACCAGCAATTTTTGTGTTTTTCTTTTTGTGTATAGCCCCTTTTGTGAGGAAAAATCTTCAAAGAAACCAGATTCTTGTTTTGAAACTGAGTTGGAGGATTGGTTGAGTTTCTTCACATCTAGCATTAGGGTCACTGGACGTGACCTTCCCCAAGTTTTTGTTGTCATTTCACACAAGGACAAAGCCATATATAGCTCTGTGAGTTGGGCTCAGTCAATAGTTGAAAAACTCACCCAAAGATTCGCAAATTATGTGGATCTCCGCCCTATTCAAGAGTGTTTTCATGTGGATGCTAGGAAGAAGAAGCAAGTTAGCTCTCTTAACAGACACATTTTTGAGAATTTCCACAAGTTGTTGAGTGATAAATCTCCACAGGTTCCCAAATTGTGTTTACAACTCACCTCTCTCTTGGTTACAAACACCAAGAAGAACAAAAGTTTTCCTTTGTGGCCATCCAAAAAGTTTTATGACTTTTGTGTTTCCGATTTGAAAAAATTCATTCCATCTTCTTCTGCTCACTCTGTTGAACATTCAAGGATAATGCAATCTATCATATCCTATTTGAATGATGTTGGATCCATCATTTACATCCCCAACCTTGATTACATCATTGTCGATCCCAACTGGCTCACTAATACCTTCTTGGGTGAGCTAATAGCTCTGGGTCAAAACTTTCAAGCTCAAGAGCCAGAGTCTTCTTATAGAATGAGCTCATACGCAAGCAAGGACGGATTTGTGAGTGAGAGTGTCTTTGTTCGGTTGATAGAAGAGTTTCTGGGAAACCAATCACATGGACAGAGAGGTGTGGATAGAGAGAAGCTTGAAAACATACTTGTCAATTTAGATTTGTGTTTCAAGCTCAAAGATACTTCTCAGTATTTCATTCCTTCTTTCATCCCGGAGCATGCAAGCAAAGAAGAACAGAAGCATGAAGAAGGGGCACACGTGGACTCAATGTTTTGGGATAATAGGAGTGAGACTTCACAGTTTGTCGGCATTCGAATTCAGTGCCAAGATGAAATAACAATGTCCCTGACTGCTGCTTTTTTTCCACGCTTCCAGGTGAGGTTCAATCATGAATTCATAAACTCAGTGAAAACATTGTATGTGCCAAGTTCTAATTGTAATTAGCGTATGATGAAGCAAATGTTTTCTTTTCATTAATTGTGACAAATTATTTGAATTTCTCACTAGAGATTTATCAAATTTCTATGATTGTAGATGTTCATAAGACGCAAGTTGATATCCGAGGAGATGGGTGTTTTCGAGGAGAATGTTATCTGCTCTCGACATTATCTGCGACTTTTCCTTGACGGGCATCAAATATATATCGAGCACATTCAGAATGAAAAGTCTCACAAATACGTAGATGTTCTGATGTTATGCTCGAGTCAGAAGTCAAAGGAGGCAGCTATTACATATGTGAGGAAGCATATCGTCCAGGAGTTGATATCATTTTGCGCATCACCAAAAGGCTGTCTTGGGGTGGCGTTAGTGCTCGGTGTGATCCAGACTTTTTGCGTGGAGATGCTGATTCCAAGTCGTCTCAGAAAAGTCATTCTGATCGAGACCCTGAAATCGGACTTCATTCGTAGCATCAATGGCAAACTTGAGGAAATGCCGTTGGAAAAGTCGCACTTGATGGAGAAGGAAGAGTTGTTTCACTATGAGCACTGTTGGCCTCCGATTGGAAGATACACCGGCCAAATATCTGAACTAGCAAGGGATTTGTTGTGGGAGAGCGATGTGGAAGCAGTTGTGAATGAGATTCACCAGAATCGAATTCAACAATTGGAGTCATTGGAGGAAGGTATAATTAGCGTGGATAATGGTTTGGCTTTATGTTATCCTGAAGCTGAAAACATGAATAGCGGCTCCGATGCCCCCCAAATAAAAGACCTCAAACCACTCTCATCCAGGTGCTTGAGTCGATCCAGCACAAGTGTGGAGAATCGTTCGACTCGACTTGTTTTGTTCAAGATTGAGCAACTAAAAGGAGAGGTTCAGGGTTTGCATAAAAAGGTTGATGATTTGGATGAGAGGTTGAGAGAAGTGCATAGCATCATGCAAAGAGTGGACATGAAAATGGAACACATACTCTCTGTGCACCAAGAACTGCAGTCAAAGTTGAGTGTCTTCATGTCTAAGGTGGACAGGAGCATTGGCTATTCGCAAGAGATTCAGCAGCGGAAAACGCCCAAACGACCTTATGTTACGGATGATGTGGGACATTTCTATAGGTTGAGTGCAGGTCTGCATGTCGGGAAAATTGTTCGACTTCACTTGATGTGTGAGTCGATGACTGGGTTTCACACTGTCAAAGATCAAGAAGGGTTGAAGTTACGATTGGATTTGGAGAAGTGGGAGTGGATTCGGAGAACTATTGAAATTTCATACAAAGTCATATATTATGGTGCAAAGGCTGCATTGACTAAGTTCTGCGGGTTGGGCGAAGCGATTCCGGCCTGGGCAGATTTGGAAGCGGATATTGTTAAACTGGATGGTATTAGCAGTGAAGATCGCAAGGCAGTTCTAACAGGTGGGGAAAGCAAGGAGCTGCAAGAAGCATGGTTGAGGATTCAGCAAATTCTTGCGCCTGAACTTGAATATTCCAAAATCTTCAAGTTGTATCAGGTGAAGTACGTGAGTTTAAAAAAAGGTGGGCATGCATGGGTGTGCGAGGAGTGCATGAATAAAGGCCTGCGTTGTGGAATTTTGACAAGTTAGGATTTAGAAGAGGTTAGAATGCCACTATGCAATTGACAAGCATATGTTTGGACCCATATGCAATATACAACTCTGCAAATTGTTCCTTGTAGTTTTCACAAGAAGAAATCTTCTATAATCTTTGTCATCATGTCAATCGCACAGTTATTGTTTTTGAAGAAGATCAGTGTTCGGCTTAACTATCAAGATGAGTTTTTGAGGGTAGAGCGATCATTTTGTCTTGTTGCAAGTCTCACTGTGATGAAAACCCTTCCCTTGACATGTGAGGGTGGTCACGTTGAACTTCAACACAAACCCCTGACTGATTCTCTTGTCCCACGATGAAGTTCCAACAAATGTATGATGGACCGAAACTGAAAATTAAGATGTGTTATCATTTTCAAGTAGTGTCCGTGTTTAAACCAGAGAGCAATAGAGTCTAAAGAGAATGCTTTTCCTAGAATTCATGCACAATATCCGATCTGTGAAGCTCAATAATTCGTAGCTCATGTGAATCTACTCCTGGCGCTTTTTTGTATGACCGGAAGATTTAACAAGATTCCTTAGGTGGCTTGAATCCAGTTCGAATGCATCTTGTGGGTGAAAAGAATTTGTGCTCAAATCTCTCTCCTATGATGTTGAAGCTCGCGTGTGCTAATCCAGAATTGCCCACCATTTGTAAAGTTGTTGATGAGAGTTTTTTGCTCCGTATTCATCGCGCTACAATCTGATAACATGCTTGTGCTGGCCGTGATCTCAGCACATTTTAAATCGCTAGCACTGTGAGAACTGTCACATGTACAAATATGGTAGTTTGGTAACACAAAATCTCTTGCTATTGGACTGCGCACGGACGTTCAGTTACAGAGACTCTTCACTATAGAACACAAATATAGTTAACGCAGTTGTAAATAGTTTTCGAGATCAGAGACAATAACTATTATGGTAATTGGTCATTGCGATGAACGGAGAAGTGTATCACTAATCTATTCAATACCATAGGAAATTATACATCTCTGAATATAGGCCAGAAATCTGCCTTCCAATTACTCCACATCAATCAACCTTAATCAAGTTAGGTGGAGGGAGCAATTCCCACAGCTTCACTGCGGTGTAAAATAATTGTGTCTCAAATGTCTGTATGCTCTGATGTCATTCAGTGTTAAAGATGTGCAGGCATGGACTTTTCGAACCTGGCCTTTGAAACACGCGCTGGGCATTGCAGAGGCAGTCTCTTGAAAATATAAGTCCGGCCGCGCAGACCTCTTGGGTCAAAGGTTCGGTCTGTGATTTGAGAGCAGCTGCTGCATATTTAGATTGTTTGTGAGAAAGAAGATCAAGAAATAAGACTCTGAATCTCTTCTTAGACACGTGACTGCATCTAGCTACCCTTGTAGCGCTTCATCTGTTGTTTAAAATTTACTCTAATTTGGGTTGATGAAAGAATTTTATGAAATAATCAAAACAATATGTCTGCTTTCTTTTCTTTTCATATGTTTTCAGGAGTTACAGTGATTTAGAAAGTGTCGAATTTTATGAGGAAGGAAGCTAATTCAGATGGGATTGATCTCAAGTTGCAGTGCGCTTCACTTCTTACATGTTCTTACGCTCTCTCACATCACACATTTTGGGACATTGCCACATAGTCTTGCAAGCCTATGACTTTGTGAAGTATGTGATGGATGATATCATAAAACCTTCGGGATCCCCGTGACTGGCAAACTGTCTGGAAAATGCGGTTCATGGACAAGTTGAGATGGTGGCTATCATCTTCACCTGGTTTGTGAAGTTCCGGTTTCAAACTGGTGGCGCACCGCCAACTATTTTTGCATATCAGTCACTGTGAATACTAGTGCATGAAGTAAATACGAGTCAGCAGTCCAAGCGTTGTCCTGGTTAGTACACTTCCCACAAACATTTGGCAAGTCCAGCATCTTCACGTTTTTTTGGAGTAACCTTGTTGTGAGACAGATTAGTAAATAAAACACATTCATGACAGCGATTAGATTAGATTTACTAATTATATGTTTTGTTATATGCTTAAAAGAAAGACGTCATCTAGTCCGGTCATTCTAGACCCAGTACTGTTGTGTACTTGGTTTGTAATCTACGAGCCAATACAGATGCTGTGATTATATGTGGCGCTTTTTTCAGTAACTAAATCGAGTTTCTATTCTACAACATGGTTCAAGTGTTTTTGGTTTGGCCCCTCTGCGACTGATGACAAGCGATTAGTAATCACGTTTACAAGTTTTGTTACCTTCCAGCCGCCATGAGCGAACCCCATTACAATTCTTCTTTACACTACGCCCCGAAGAGAAACTCACATGTTGTCTCAACTATATGAATTGGTTCATAAGACTCAAGACCATGCTGTGAGACAAGGGCATCTACGAAAGAATAGTTCTGGCTCCAGCTCCCCTTAGACGATATTGTCATTCGCCGCCGTCACATCAAAAAAATAGCTATGGTTTGGGCTAGTGTCTTTCTTGACTAGCTTTCTTTTATTACTGAGTTTGAGGATAATCCATAAGAATTGTGAGGTTATTTGCTAGCCCTTTACGACTTTTTATGTTAACTGAAAAGCTAGCCACATTTAATTTACGTGAAAGCTCAAGTAATTTAGCAGTGTAAGATACTACCAAACAGTGCCCTTGTTTAGTAGTATCTTCATCCTACACAGACACTAAAGACTCAGCTCGCCGTTATTAATCACCACCCTTCAAACTTTGATTTCATGCACTATAAGCTTAAAAGTCTACCTCTCACGTCATGAATCTTCCTCTCTAAACTTAAGCAGCGATCTCTCTGGAAAATCATCCCCCAAAGGTCAACGTCTTGTGATATTCACTCCTCAATTTTGCTTTGTATATGATAGATCCAACCTTGGTAAGGCTTTCTTATATAATCAACGCAATTCACAGATCAAGTTGTTCTGCATTCTTCCAAAATCACAAGTCAATTTGAAGTCACTTTGACACTTCTATGCATTCTTTAACTGTTTGAAGTACCCAGGAAACCACCCGACTCACTCACATACCCTACCTTTGTGGCTCTTATAAAGGATCTTCCTCTGAGCAATCCAACTGTTCTTGAAATCAGTGTTACGACATCTTGGCGTTGTCTTATCAAACATAAGACTGCTCATCATGTGATCTCCAGTCCCTTTGTGACTGGTTTTTCCAACTTGCAGTGGACAAAGCATGTTGACTCGCAAAACAACACCGAGCAAAGAAATTCAAACGAGCTTCAAAGAAACCTTGGCCACTGGAGGTGATTCACAATGACCTATGTGGACCACTTAAAGCCGGCACTAAGTTCAAGTATTTGTTGACTTTCACTGATGAGTACACATGGTTTATCTGGGTATGATTTCTTCACCTCAAAACAAGAGATTTCTCCACTTAAAGGGATTTGTCTTACCCAATGAAAATCATAAGACGGCGGTTGTGTGGCACACTAAACAAGATTAAACATTTAAGAAATCTTGCTTTTCAGACAAGAGGGGGGCAAATACCAATCTATTATGTTCAGGAGATACCGTGTTTGAAAGCGAATGGCTCGCTAGTTTACATCTGTCGACACTTTTCACCAAAATGACATCTTAGAATGTAAGAATTAAGCACTCTTTACAGTACCTTGTTGTATTTTTAAAGATTACAAATTTTCACCTCATTTATGGATGGAGTCTTTACAAGCCGTCAAATACGTAATTAATTTTTGCATCACACTAGCATTTAGTCTAATCACACTTTTTGAAAAGATTATATGGTCTCCTGCTAGTTTTGTTACCGCTGTGAGTCATTGTATCGTAAGATCAAGGGTTGTATATGTGAAAAAAATTAAACAAAGAATTGACAATGGTTAACTTACTTATGACTAAGTTTAGCTATCAAATTTTTACTTGACACAATAATTGAATTATCTCTGAGTGAATAATATTTTTTAATCTGATATAAAGTTTTAGATTCTAAAGAATAAATACTTTAATAACATGTAGATTTTGATTGATTTGAACAAGTAATAGAATTTTCATCGATGACATCAAGTTGACCTAGTGACAAGTGGAAATTCTTAAAATTTCCCATTACCCAATGGCATGTCCACACCTTAACCTATGGACAAAATAGCTTCTAAAATTTAGTCAATCCACTGATATATTGCCAAATAATAAAAATCAATCATACATATAAAGATTTATCCTAATTAAACCAAGTAAGATGGTAATAAATATGTGTTATTATGATTATTTCTCAAATAGTATAAACACAAAGGGAGAATTTTCACTCTCAAACAATTATAAAATATCCATTGTATGAAAAATTGTTTCAAAAATAGAAGAATGTTAATTTTACAAATTATCTTGTACTAGTGTTGAATATTGGACTTGACAAATGAGTGAAAAGATTGTACGAGAACTTGTTTGAGGATGCAATTACGTGGAAAAATCATTTTTTCAATTATATAGGAGCTTCAAACAAAGAAAAATATGATAAACCTTATTAACTCAACATATTGCATATCTTGTCCAGCACTGTTGCATTGATAAAGAAAATATATCATCAATTACCTATGACAAAGCTCTGAGCAACCTCATATATTTGATAATTTGTACAAGACTTGATAATTCTCTAGCTATGTGTAAGGTGAACATGTACATATTAAATCTAAGAAAATGCATTGAAAAATATGAAAATGTATTTTAATTTACTTGAAAATTACTAAGGATTATAGTATATTATTGGATGGATTAAAAAAACAATGTCAAATTACGTTTAGGTTATGTTTATGTTGACTATGGATCAATCTAGACGAGAATGAATCTTAACATGAATGTTTACATTTGACAGTGAACACATTAGTTGAAAATCTATTTTGCAGAAATTCATGGTTTGGTCCTCAATGAAAACTAAGTGTATAGCGGCAACAGAGTCAAAAAGAATAATTTTTATGGTAAAATAGGTTTATCACAAAGATGAAATTAGATTAGAGAAGTAGAAGATTAATTTGAAGATCAGATGCTTTATTATGGCCTATGAATAGCTACTACGGAGAAGTCATTTTACAAAAATTAAGACAAATTTATATAACAAATCAAAAGAAGATTTTTAAACTTGATGAGAATTATTGCATAACATATTGAAACATTACATGATTTTTATACTTGATGAGAATTATTGCATAACATATTGAAACATAAGCATATATTGACAAGATGCAACAACTAAAATTTTATGAAAGAGAAGAAAATGAAGTTAAAGTAGAATTCAGATGAGGAACTTTCATTGAGCAAGCTCACTCAAAAAAGACTTAGATTCGATTTTACTCCTCTATCTATTAAAAAACTAGCTTATCTTTAAATTTCGAAGAAAAGAATTGGAAAAATTGGAAAATGGACAAAATCAACAAGATGTCAATAAAAGGTGAGTCTGTGACAAAATTGAAAAACATCATTGAAGAGAATCTATCAAGTTTTTATGTGGAATTCATCACAAAATATATACTTGTTATTGCTTGGAAGAAGTTTCATAATTTTCATCAATAAAAATAACATTTTTTTATTGAAACACTCTACTACAAGATTTATATATATAACAATGTTCATGTAATAAAAAATTCATCATGTTCGCTTTGATCATGGGAAAAAACGATGAAGATAATTGCTTATTACATTTAATCACAGTTAAAAATATAAATTAAAAGAATTGTTGTCAAACTATGAAAGTTCAATTTCTTTTATATGACATTGAGAGATCATGAATCCAAAATTAATATAATAAAATCAATAGATATTACCAAGGATACTGCATCCATCAAATATGAATAAAAAAAGTAAACAAAAAAAAATATAAACAACATGTTCAGAGCTTGTTTCAATAGGTTGATGATAATTAAAGATTCTGATAAAAAATGACTGAATTGTTTCAGCAGCAAACAACATCAGGTAAGAGAATGTTGAAACTTCAATAGGTTGATGACAAGAGTTAGAAGTTTTAAATATAAACTGGTATTTCAAAGTTTTATAATATATACTTTTATTTTTAAATTATCAATTAAATTTATAATAATATGTAATTAAATAATAAAGTTAAGTTAAATGTTATTATTATTCTATGTCAACAAGGATGATATTAAAAAAAATTAATACTATTTATTCATGTATGAATGTAAAGCTATAAAGCTTTAAAATAAAGTAAAATAGAAAAAAAATTCTCACATTAATAACTCAATAAATTTATTGTAAAATTAACTGTAAAAATAAAATATGGATATTTTTATTTATAAGACCTAATCATAAATTTTATATTATTATGATACAAAAATCATCACATATGATTAAAAATGTTGATTGTTGTCATTGAATAGATGGAAGATTCTAAATGAATATAATAAAAAATAAAAAAGATGAATAAGTTTAATAGATATGTTTCATGATATCAACAATATTATATATGCATATCATGTCAATAGATTAAAGATAATTAGTATGCATATTGTGCTTGTTTTTATCATGTGTTATAAAAATTTCTTAATGTTATCTATTTGAAATCAAACTCAATAAAGAAAATTTAAAGTCGTAGAGATTTAAGAAATTTATTTAATTTTTTCTAAAATTTTTTAAACTCGATGTATATAACTTGCATAATGAAAAGTTTGCAACTTTTTTTTATAAAAGATGTATATGGTCATATACATGTGAAATATATGTATATGTAAAAATTGTACATTGTTTGTGCATATTCATATATATATATATATATATACATTTTTTAAAATATTTGTGAAGAAACAAGTCAGTTTATGTTTTAATGCATACTAATAAGGTTGATATTATTTATTTCTAGCAAGTTAGCTATTGTTACATAAGAAATATCACAAATTTTGTTTGTGACACACAAATAAGGTTATTTAAAACAAAACATATATGATTATGTCAAAAATGCTCACAAAAAAATAAACTGTGTGTTTTTTTGTCTCATGTTTACTTGTATTTTCTGTGTATTATTTTCTAGCATTAATTTTTAATTTCATAAATCTTTATGAAATATACATTTGATTACTTATATATATTCAAATATTTCATAATATTTCAAATCTAAAGATCTCAAATAGAAATTGAATCATTGATGTGTCAAGTTTTATATTTTTCCTATTTTCATAAGAACGCATTCATCATCAGAATTTCATTAATTTAAACTTTTAAGCCTTGAAAAATTTGGATTTATTTGTGCTTTTATTTGTGTCTTTGTCAATTTGCTTGAGATTGAGCAGAAATAATACCAAAAAATGAAACCATCATTATAATATACTTTTTGTTGATATTATATTTTATTGATATAATTGATGAGATTATTTTGTATCTTGTTGGTATTTGCAAAATATTCATCTTGTAGAAATCCGTGCATTATTTCTTGCATGATTCATGAGGAACTAAGATCACCTTGAATGAACTAACACTAAGTAAAAGTTTAGTATTGTTGGTTTTACCTTAAATAACCTAGAAGTAGAAATAAGTCTTTAATCATATATGCTAATTAAAGTTATGAGTACAAAAGCACTACATTGGTTGAATTTTTTATATTGAGAGATCACATCTAGACTTTACATTAACATTTGATTATATTTGACTTCTAATCGAAACACAGATGTTTGAAGATGAGGAATAATTTGTAAGGAAACATACATATAATTTATAAAAAAAAATTTGTCTTTAAGCCATGGCTTATATGAATGGCTTATATTAATGAGGATATTAATTTCATCTTAAGATTTCTAAATTGATCATTTAGAATCAAAATTATGCATTCATAGATATTTTAAATCCAATTTTATGCAAATGTTCACACTAGTATATAATGATTATTAAACACTTAAGATAAAAATAATTATAAAAAATTAAATCAAATACATTCTTAAATTTTTGATTTTATTAAAAAAAAAAATTTAAAAGTAGTATTATGATTGAATTCACAATTTTTGTTTATAACGTTCAGATGATTACTGAGACAATTTTCTTAATAATTAACACCCTTCTCTTCAGTTTAACAAATAACAAAATTATTTAGATTCATCTTGTAGGTTTAAAAATCAAGACATATGATTCTAAATCTTGTTTTATTTTGGCAATTTTCACAGTCTGAAGCTCTCATAAGATGTTTGCATTCAACATTTAAAATCATTTGAATTTAAAAAAAAATGTTTGAATTTAAATTCATTTAATGACATCCGGAGCTCTTTAGATTCATCACTAAATCCGGAGCTCTTTGAAAGCATTAAACAAATGTTCAAGCATGAAAGAGAGGGGGCAAAACCCCAACCAACAGCGAATTCAACAGAAAAATGGACCAACAAAAACTTGATCCTCACTCCAAAACCTATGCTCTGAAATCGAATTCAAACCTTACGTTATTCCGTCTTCATTTCCAAAACCTTTTGGCCTAGTGCGTTGACTTTTGCATCTGCTCAAGTTCAAAAACGCAGTGCAAAATGAAAACATCTAAAGATCTGAAGATCGAAGGGTCTGACTAAAGAGATTGACAATCCTCGAAAAACACATATCCGCACATTCCAGTTATTCAATTAGCAGATGTCTATCATTAATTTACAGGAAAAGAATTATGCGATATTATTACAAATTTGAGCAGCAAACTAAGACCTACAACTCACTCACATTGAATTTCAAAGGATTGGGTTGAGAAAGGATCCCCTTGAGAGATTGAAAATACATCCATGAAGTACGCATTCTCAATGACAATCGAGCTTCACAGGAGCACATGAATGTGGAACAAGTGCGAAAGTGCAGCTTCGTGTTGACAAGTTCAAGACAAGATCATTGATCACAGCTCTCCCTTGAACAAGAACTGCTGACCCATCTTACCAATGAGGTAAAGCCACCTACCAAAGTCCCAAGCAGCCTAAGGTGTGATGTTTTACTCATATGATATACTCTGGTGAAGTCACCAGATCCCTGTTATCCGTGCACAATTCCAAAACATTTTCTCTTGTGTACATATGTCCGCTGGACGATTTCAAATGAAGCTCTAACAGCTGACGCTACAACTCTGGTGCTTCCTCTCCAGACGTGATTCCATCATTCGTCCTTCTTTGTGTACTTGTCAAGAGCCTGGAGCAGTTCGACAAGCGGTGGATGAGAGTAGTGATATGCTGAGTACCAGGGATTTGTGTTCATTGCTGAAAGGCTTTCCTCCTGTCACAGTAGTAGTGCAGCATGTTAATATTCAGTACAAAGCTCCTTAAGGATTAGTGGATCTTTATAAGAACTCTTTGCCTGTATTATTAGAGTTCGTCATCTAACCAAACAAAAAGTTTGAATCCAAAACGTACATATCAATACTAACTTTCTCATCTAGAGATGCAAATCCGAAGGATACTCAGAAAAGATAAAACCATAAACAGTTTTTGCATTCTTGACCGTACTTGTAACTTGATGAGGCCTCGCAAAGAATCTGCGTAACCAAGCTTCCTTGCGAATGCATCGGCCTGTAAAGAAACAGAAAGCGAAAACTGAGTTTAACACGAACTAAAACTCATGAGAATTTCGAAGAAAGCGAGAATTGTAATCTACTCATTGTTTGTTTGTCATCTAAATTGTGAGCACCGTTTGGTAAATATCGACGCAAAATAGTAGCAACAAAAGTATTGAGCTACTTCAACAACACGATTGTACAGCCGACTACGATACTGCGGCAAAAGTTTGCAATTGATGTATATGGGGATGAAACGGAGAAGGGTGGAAGGGAACGTTAACCTGAAACTCGAATGCCCTGCTGACCAGGTTGAGGCCAAAGCTAACAAGATGTTGCAAGGGCATGATTGTATGCTGCATGTTTCAAGAAATCGAGACGGTCAGAAACGAGATAGAAGACCAGAAAGAAGTTATACCTCTTACAACACAAATTGTTCAACTAAACTTCTACTGTACATCAAAGAGGGCAGTAGATGTGAAAACAAATGTATTTCTTCAAGATTCAAAAATTTGGCAAACTCTCAAGAAAATTAAGAACTACGGAGCTATGTCAACGAAGGATATTGATGACACAACTCATTTGATCTGGCTATCACCATTTATCTCGATCAGCTGTTGGTCAATATTAAGTACATAACTGAAGAGGAGAGGGAAAGAACCTGGAATAACACGAGGCCAATAAGAACAGGCTGGGTTGAGAAACCAAAACTTCGGAAAAGATCAGTTGAATTGCGAACTAATGTATAACCGCCGAATTGCAACAGCGTAAGAACCTGTCAAGTTCAAGCTAATCAGTCAAGCTCAATGGTCGATTCAAGTTGTCATGTTCTTAATAAGATGAATGCATAACGTACAATCCGGAGCTACAGGTAAATAACACCCTATGTGAACTCAAATCATCCGGTAAGCAACGAGTAAGGCTTTCGACAGTAGCCGTCTGTCCTAAGCAACCAAAAAGTAAGAAAACTTGGAGAACAATTTGTGTATACAAATATGAAAGGCCTGCATGAGTGCTTGATCTGAATTTAAACACTCCAAAAACATGAAATACTGTGATCAGCTGTTGGTAAATACCTGCATGGCTACAAAGGAATACATGGTATGACTAAGCTGCCAGTGGCCAAGTTCATGTGCGAGAACTGCTACGACCTCTTCCTCCTTACACTGCAAATTTCATCATCTGGTCAGCATCGAATCTCTTCACCTTGATGATATAGGCACAAAGATCGTTGATAGATGCAAAAGCACGATCGTCCGGATTTACGTTACAACCATAGTAACAACATTCCTTCTAGAAAACCAAATGACTTCAGATAAAGCAATGGAACATATATTGCTTATTCCAATGAAGCAACAATTCACCAGAAGTACCTGTTATATAAGTGTATCATAAAGCACAATGCGCTTGCTGTTGAAAAATCCATACATGTATGCCTGCAAAACCGTATCATCTTAGACCTTGAATATCAACGAAGCATGAGGCAGAAGAACATCCATGTATGAACTGAGCACGAATGCACGAATGTGTATCAACTTACATTGCTATGGCTAGATCTTGTGGATCCGTCAATGACAAACAGCTTCTTCAAGGGAAACTTTAGTAATGACGCCAGCTTTTCGATTTTTGCCCTCAGCTCTCCTTCGGGCAGCTGTGCAGATATGCCCAGCAGGACCCATATGTTAGCGATGCGCACCGCATTGCACCGTGGGAGTAACATGATTCACAGCTTCAGGCAGTTCCAAGGTAAATGGCTGCTGACAACATATGTCTTCCAGACAAACATTGACCGGCAACAATAAACGCTTGAACCCCGATTTGAAATACTTACTGGAGTGAACTTGTTAAACAGTCGGGCAATGAGAACGGGATAAATAGCCATCATCCCGAGTGACAAAACCAGCATGAATCCCCACAAATAAAGAGGAAGGTATGGACCTCCTTTCTGCAGACATTGGAAAACGCAGAGGACATATTAGCAAGGCACATGCAGTCTCGATTATGACTCGATAGACCCATCTAACTCTCTACTACCCTCCTCCGGAATTACCATGCTCCCGCCCATTCCTGCGCAACGACCACCTCCCACGATACCCCTTCTTCTTCATCGATCGAGGTCCGAGCTGCGTCTTCCCAAGCACCTACCGCCATCGCGAATCATTGGTCTCAGCTCTAACTTCAGAGAAAACGACCCACCACGAGTGCCATCCCGCATAATCCCACCTCTCGCGACTCCGATGATGCTCCATCTCTCACTGCCTTCCGCCTTCGGACTGTATGCATGAATCTGTGGTAAAAACAGGCCGACCCCTCGCGCACCGCCGTTCACGAACAACTCGTCGCCCACGGCTTTGAAGCCCAGGCCCCAACCATTGGTGTTCTCGGCCCGATGAGGAACCTTCTCCAGGAGTTGCCACTGGTTCTTCTCCTTGTCGTAGGACATCAACATGTTCTCGATGATGTTGATGCCATACAGCTGATTGTTCAGGACGGCGACCAAAGGTGGCGCGACTTGGGTGCTCGGGACGAACTTCTTCGGCCACATGTCCTCAATTAGATTCCAGGTTTTCATCGCCGGGTCATACACCTCTCCCGAGTTGAGTATGATCGACTGTTGTTGACTGCCAATGACGTGGAACTTGCCGTCCATCACAAATTCCGAGCAGCACTTCCTCTCCGTGTTCATGTCAGGCAGCATGAGTCGGCTTCGGAGTTGTACCTCTCGACCGACTTCAGAAGACTCCTTCGACTCGTACCTCCGGCGAAGTAGGCAAATTGTCCGAAGCTGGCCGAGCCGAATAGACACCGATCAGTATGCATTTTCGGAGTCGTCGACCACGCACTCCTGATGGTGTCGAATCTCCACACTACGTATCCATCTCCGCCTTGCCCTAGGACCATCAAGTTCAGCCCGGCCACCATGCTCTCCTTGTCGCACGTGTGAACCACGAAATCGCTAGGGCACGGTGGTATCACCACCCAATCGTTCACGGTGGGTCGATACGCCCGCCATTTCTTATCGACATTCGTCACTCCTAAAATAATCACCCAATCTTCGCGAACGGATTGCAGCCTTCGAGCCTTGTACAGCTCCGGGTGCAGCAGATGCGCCTTCCACTTCTTGCACACCAGAGCCATGTCGTATATCTTCGCACGCGGAATCCCAGTCAAACACAGTTGCCCCAGCTCGTCGTGAATACTAGGGAAGTAATCTCATATCCTCGCACGTCTTGCTGATCTTGCTCAAGGTCGCAGGGCTTGACAGCCCCCATGTCCGGGCACTGGTGATTCCGCAGAGCAAGCTCGCTCGATAATCCATCGGCGACCACGGCGTTGTCTTCCACGCCGGCGAAACAATTTCTCGGCTCGCTGCTCTGCAATCTCTTGAGGGCTGCGATCACGCACGGCCATTCCCACCGAGCCCCGCTTGCGAGAAGCCGGCTCCGCGCGCATGGACAGCGACGACGCGGTGGCAGTCTACGGCAGTCCATTCCGCCCTGCCCCCATGGCTCCATTCTCCACCCTGTGCGTTCTAACAGAGCGCCTCCGAGGCCGTCTCTGGTCCGGAAAAGTGACTTCTCCCCGTATACACTTCATGGACCACAATAGGCAACTTACCTCACTTCGGCGAAGAATTAAAAAAAAAAGAAAAAGTAAGGAGTAAGTAATTACGCCCATTCATTTTAACTGTAATATCATTTTGGGACCTGAGAAATTGAGCTCTTGCATGATGAAGATGGGAGCCATGGTAAATCTGACTAACTTAACTTAGGGAACAATTTCTTTTTTTCATTGAAGTGGAAACAAAGCATAACCGTCGGAGGGATCTATCGAGTAAAATGGATCATATTGGGTCCCATCAAGCATTCAGCATTCTGATGGGTCCCATCAAGTAAAATTCTCCTCATTTTCCAGACGGGTTGCATTTTTTCGTGTCGCCAGTTTGTGCATGGCCTTCATGAATCCACGTAATTTCCTGAAATAGATCAAATTCTTGTAATTCTAGAATAATGCAAATATGAATAAGGTAAATGTGTTGATCTATTGGAATGTTTAGTGTATCAATGACATGTTGTCACAAAATTATTTTTTATTAAAATTAATCATACATATCGAATTTTCAATGGAATTATGTAGTTATTATCATTTTTATCTTTGAATTAGTATGAATGAAGAGTTAGAATATAAATTTTCAAGAAAAATTGAAGCTGAATTGGTTTAAGTTATTTTGAAAAAACACACGACATTCTTGAAAATAATGAATCGTTTATGTATTCACTTTTCTATGATGATAAGGTTAAAAGTCATGATATACATCTTCTTCTCTAAAAATATTATTTTGATATCTCTTAAAATTTAAGTGATTTTGACATTAAAAAATGTCTCCAAACAGTTTTAAATTTTTTTCAGAAGAAACCTGGCTATGTTTTATATTTGTTATCATATTCACATCTTATGATTAGTATCTATGATGAAAGATTGGAATTAAGAGAGTTTTCAAGGATATTAAAAAAATAGCTCGAGGTCAAAGTTATAGATAATTAATTAATACGTGTATTTGTAAATAAATTTTAAAAAAAATCAATTTTAAATTTTTTGGATCTCAACGACATGATAGTTAGATTTTTATAGAAAATTCATTTCTACTGAAAAAAAATATGATTTTTAAGAACTTGAGGGATACAAAGAAATAAAATTATAAAAATATTTCAATTTCAAATATCTGGTTTTTCTAATGATTAGGAACTAATTTTTTTAACTAATTATTTACTGGTGATGACTATTTGATTGTCAAAAAATTACATGAGGTATTTTATATTTCACGGCATCCATGTGATTAAAATCTCATTCCCATATTAATTGTTCATCATGTTGTCCTGATTGAGGTTGGAAATAATTCAAAAAACGATTTATTCTTTTCCATCAAGTTATCTCATAAACTTGTGATTTTTTCCCAAAAATATCATTATTTGTATAACTTAGTTTCAATATTTAAAATCAATGAGTTTTAATATGTTCTTCATGCGTTTGTACTGATTTTTATGATGATTCATTAATTTTCTTGCGTTAATGATTATTCAATTTCATCAACGTAAGACAATATCAATTCGAATTTTTTTTTATTGATTCATTGCATGTGATTTCATTAACAGAATATTTGTTGATTAAATAAAACATTTCAGTTTTATCAACTGAAAAATTTATCGTCATATCTTTACAAATTTCATGTTTTAAATCTTGTTCAAAGGCATTCAAGGTTTTAACTTCACTCTTGTTCATGGAAAACATGTATTTGAAAAATCACTTTTTTTTATAAATGATTTTCTTTCTCTCCACATATCATTATTATTTATAATTTAAAATAATTATTTTGTTGTAAAAGTCAAAAATTTCTCTAACATTCTAGATCCTGAAATCAAAACGTGTCATTCTCACATAATGTATGAAGAAGGAGCCAATTGCATGGAATAAAATCTCATTTCAATTTGCAACAAAATTGAAATATATGGAAATTGAATAAATTTATATTTATATTTGTGATCAAATTTTCATTCTCTCTAGTTTGATTCTAATACAGAAATCTTATTAACTATGTTGTGCTGCTCTATATATTTCTTTATCATCACAATATTTAAATGTTTCATATCAGCTTTAATTGCGCTTAAAATCTCATTTGTATCAGACCATGTCTTTATGACTTCACTCACAAGAATACAACGTAAATATGACAAAAATCTAACGCCAAAAAAAATTAATCACAAAAGTTACAATTTAATGATGATAAAATACCTCTATAGATTTTTCATCATAATTTTTCATACAAAATTGTCTAAACACTCTCTTTTATGAGTAATTCGTTGAAACTTTCATATACATGTTGAATCAAATCTAAGCAGATGATTCACAATATAAATGTTTGTATAATTCAATGAAAATAGTGAAATTTGAAATCTTTGCTAACTATAAGTTGATAATATTAGTAATTTAATAGATTTTATCATATAGGTCATGACTTATTCAATGCAATACATGTATAATAGAATATAAATATATTTTAGATGAAACAAAAGTGAAGGTTATATAAAGATTATCATTCAAACCTTTTATTTTTAGTTTTTATACATCATCTTCATACTTGTTATTTAATATTTTATTTTAAAGTACAAATTTTTTTTATGTGCAAATCAATAACCTTCATGTAGTATGTACGTAGGTCATGTAAACTCTAAAACACATCATTTGTTTTTTGAAAAATTATGAGAGATAACTTACACTCAAAGAAGTAACAAAGTAACTTTTTTCCATGTTATCCATTATAAAGAAAAGAAATAAACTTAATAAAAAGATAATACACAAATTTTGGTTGAAAAATATGAATTCTATTTTTCTCATATATATATCTATATACATATTTATACAAGGAGAAAAATCTTCACACAATCATCAAATCCATTTGTTTTGGATCAATGGGATGGAAATTTATGAATAAGTAAACACAAAGATTGCATATGTGATATATATATCCAAGACATTCATTCCTCACCATATTCCTTCTTTAATGATCCATTCGAGCAAGTTGATGTATTCTGAGGACTGAGCGGCACATGCGTCGTCATCTTGGTGGACAAAGCATGTTCCGTTTTTTTGCTGCTTTGAATATTGGGACAGTAGTCTATAACTTCTAGCTTCAGAAGAAACCAATCAGCTGTGTGGAAGTTTCCTGAAGATACCAGTACTCCAGGCTCTCCACTGCTGGTGTGATTGTTCTTCTAGCTCATCTGTCAAGCATGTGAGCGCATGCACAGTTCTAGTTCCAGAGTCTGGAGGTCTTTCCACTTCAAAATCTTTAAATCGAGTTCCTTCCGCTCAGTCGATCTCGGTGACAGTCCTGTTCCTAATAATATCCTTGAGTTGCATTGAAAGGACCCCTCTTAGCTATATCAGCGTTGACGACCTAAATCTAAACCGAAGGTAGCATATAGAAGCAATTGAGTCCTAACACAGAAGATATATGCTCCGTTCATTTTCGCTGGACAGTAGCCATCTGAGCTCAAAGTGAACGCAACGATGAGGTGCATGAGACAATTGTAAATTGTACAATATAAGGACGGAGCATTACGCTACACCACCCCTACTTAAAGCGACAGAAAAAGCATCTGGCGCCCGCTTGACCTCTTACGGCCTCTGCAGTGTAGGAAAAATGATCAGCTCCTTTGAGGTTGTTTCCATTACCCTGTCCTATTCGGTCCTCTGGCTTTATTTCTCGAGGCTTTCTTGGCTTGCTTTGCCGGCGGATCAACTGGAGCAAATCTGCGCCAACATGAAATAATTGGATTAGATCTCCCGTAAGGATGTTGTTGAACAATTACTTCTAGCAATTACTATCATATCATGCTTTCATCTCTAGCCGATAATATGTGGAGGACAAATATAAATCACCTTCCATCTGGCTTGGTTTCAACAGCGTAATGGTTTTCTTCGGACGGAAGCTCTACTTTGAATGGATCCATCCATTCTGGATCGCTTGCAGCTGCTCTTCTCCATCGTCGTGAGAACGCTTGCAACTCAACTTTAGATCTATTTCTAATCTGCAGGCCAGAATGGACAATCGAATGCCACCATCAGAGATGTCCGTACAAGACGTCAAAACAATACAGAACGAGGGAACAGAAGCCAGAAAGTCAAAACTGACCTCTCCTCGAGTGTCCACAGCGTCGGGATCCTGTAAAACAACAAGAGCGGGGAGTATGAAATATTAGCGCCACTCGAGAGGAACCATCTCATGCATGGTTTACAAATGCATTAGCTCAAAGGACAACCCCCTCCGGAACATGGTTCGCCTGCGGAAGATATTCCAACATGCTGAAGTGGCCTTTAAGATCACTGGTTTTGTCTGGCTTACGTAGTACATTTCTTGGCTTGTGTGCACTCATTCTCTAGTCCATAAGTTCTCCTCGGCATAGACAGTCCTGTACCTTCAGGCTTCCTGAACAAACGGTCCTGTCTGTAGCTCCTTGGGAGACAGAAGCTCAGGAGATCTAAGAGTAAAGCGGAATCTTCTCAGGTTTGCAGGTACTCAGACAGTACTGCCATTTATGCAATGTGGTCTAAAACCAAACTCGAGATGCGTTCGATTTCTAGTTAGTAGTCAATGTGTATACTAAGATATGGAGTAAAAGTCCCTGACCTTGCTTTCTCAGTCATACTCCTTGCTCCATAAAATACCTCGATCCCTCTACTCAGGACACACTAGAGCTTCTGACCCATGGGGATGTAGGCACTTGGTTCGACCCCGGTTTTCTCTTGTGGTATTACTAGCCAATCTCAGAGGTCAGGAGAAAAGGTTACACCAGTCTTAGACTTCAAATACTCCAACCTCGTCGTATCTTTGAGAATGAGACAAATAGCGGCAAGATGCTTGCTAGCATATTCAGCTCATTTCACAAACCACCTCCGGTTGGTTCGATTTACTTCTTCGAAGTATCTGATATGAAACCTTCTGGGATAATTCCTTTCTTTGCTCTGGATCTTCATTCGGTACAACATAGGAATGTCAAGATACGACGCTCACTATATCATCTTTACTCATCATTCCATGTCACTAACAGGGATCGAACTTAACGTAAAACGGAGAATCACATTGAGAAGACCTCCACACAGGCTGGCACATGGTGACCAACAACAACGAATACATCGGGATATATTCGTTGTATATCAATGTGTGTTTCATAATGAAGTGTCCTCAAAATAGTCTCTCCCTTTCATCACTGGATCAATAAATAGCAGATGGAAGCACTTGAGGATCAAGGTCATTTCGAGGCCCTCTCAATCAACCGTTATCTCGTTTTACTCAAGAAACGAGATCATTGTCTTCCTTACATAAGGCATATGGAGTGCTGAATAGAAAACATTGTCAAGATCACGATTGAAGATTACAGACCGCCTGAATCAAAATGCACGTTCTTGTGGGGCTGCTACTTGCACACTTTGTATCAAACTGCTGACTAAGTTCCGACCCATTCTTAGAGAAAGTCCAATAAATAAAATCTAAACCTGAATTTAAATAAAATCTTCTGAGCGAAAGGTTCTCAGGCCCAGGAAAAAGGAAAGTCTCGACCGCAGACATGTAGAAACATACCAGGAGGCTAGCGTCAAGCACGTTAGCAGTCCTCAGATTTGTTTGACTCTCTGCAGTCTGTCACAGATTCCAAGTTGAGTGCGCTACAGGTTTAGATTACCTTGGGCAAAAAGTAGGGCTTGTCACTTAAACTCGAAATCCTAGTCAGACCGATCACTGAATCGTTCTAACTTCCATACTCTTGAAACTGCAATCATCAAAAAGTTACTGGAGCAAAGCGTGATTTCCATCGCCGACAAAAAATTGCACAAGAACTTCATCCTCACAAGCATACCTTGTCATGAGGTTGACCTCCCAAGGACGGAATGCCTTCGTGAACAATATATTCACTGTCGATGATACCCACTTTCTCACTGCGAACTCCCTTAAAAATGAAAATAAAGATTATGAGTGCCATTATGGAGACCTGTGATATAGTTCTAAAATCATTTCACGACTAGATAGCAAATTAATCATGATCGCTACTCGATCACTCACATCTCTATTCGAGAAGATAGAATGCCACTTCTTGCAGAGTTTACCAAAAACCCACACCCATCATATATATTTACAAAAAGCAGTTGATACCAAGGGGTTCAGAGATGTACCTGGGCACAGTAACCAAGCTTGTAGTCTAGACCCCAGGCATGAACTAAGTCATTCTGCTCAGCAAAAAGTGAAGTCAAATTCAGGCCACGGAAAGGAGCTGCGCGAAAAATAAACTGAACCCGAACAGCAACCATAGTCTAAACCAGATGTAAAGAGTTCAGAGATTGAATTGGAATACACATGAGAAATATTCAACAGACGATATATGAGAGCTAGTGTGCTTTGAGGACGAAGTGGTATATTCGATTTTAACAAAATAGGTGACTGGCAACAGTTCATGGTTTTCCCTTAAGCAGGTTGGACAAATCTCCACACCGCTCTTGATGATAACAAAGAACTAGTATTTTTATCACCGTGTCGTTGCAGTCAGCCTCTTATGATCAACAACCGGTAGGTTTCTTCCAAAGTTCACAAGTAGGTTTGTCTTCAGCTCCAGCATAAAAAGGGCTGCTTCAATTTACATACTCTAACATCGTTGTCTCAACTTCATGATTAATGAAGACTCCAATGCAGAGCTAAACAAACCTGAATCATGTACCAAGTGCACCTCCACGCAGCCCGAGAAAACACTGGAGCCATCATATTAACCCAGAAATATCAGTCAGAAAAGTCCAGATTTCCATAAGACCAGGATTTTTTTCAGAAGATCTTTTCCCGAACCAGGCCTGATCTCACGGAAGATGATAGACAATGTCATGCTTTTGATACTAATCTCCACTTACCCTGTACACGGAGGACCGGTGCTATTGGCGTTACATGAGTTCCATCCAGTTCCTGTTATCAAGCGTCTGCATTTACATTCAGATGATCAGAAACGTTCATGTATCATAAATGAAGAAACATACTCAACGAGAAATGTCCTCAGGTTCAAACCTGACAGGAGCAATATGCATATACATATAAATACAAAGCAACAGACAGGCCGCTAATACTCAGGGTCTAAAGAAGAGCAATGATCTTTGATAGAATAGATCATGTTAGCATCTGTACCCTGCTATCAGAGATCAGACTAGTTGACAAATAAGAATTTGCTCTTGCCTGTGAACTCTCTCTGTGGGTTGGCGTACAGTTAAAATGTGGTGAACCTCTGAAGAGCTTGAAGCGAGGGCAGGCTGAGAAATCTCAAGTCCTTCATCTTCCATGATGTTTAGATATCTGTCGCCGATGACAAGAACTTTGTTTAGGCCCGAGGTTGCACAAGGATGATATCTCTTGTACTGCAAACTTTTAAGTACAAACCTTAACCAGCTGAAATGTAGAACGAGAGCATACACCAGTTAAGTTCATGAATTTCTTGATTTATGAATCAACAGTTGTACTTCAGGGTGGTTACTTAGAAGCTTAATCACTTCCTTACAAAGATAACACTGCAAATGGGCTAACAACGTTCCAACCGGTAAAACAAGCAAAACAAGACGATGTTACAGTATTTTCATACCTGTCAGCGTGGAAAACTTCCACCCCGAGATCTTCGTCCCAGAGGAATATATAATTGTACCTCGCGACGATGTCCGGGTGCAGAAACCGCTTGGCATACCACCTACCCAGAGATGTGCTCAAATTGATTATTTAAAAATTGGTTGTTTTGGAATTAAGTACGTAGACGAATCAACAACCAAGTGACGTCCCAACCACTCTATTGTAGTCTATTAAGTTGGCTATCGATTAAAATAAATGAGACCTCCTGGTGTTGAGCCAGAGCCTAAATACATACAGGTATCACGTAGCTCAAAATTCTGCAGAAAAAAAAATTACCCCTTGGCCATGCAGAACATGTCAGAGTTGGATGAGACAGCTTTGGATATTTATGAATAACATGATTCCGAACAGAAAGGAACCTTCTCTAAGTGCTTCCCTATTAGAACAAAGACGATCCAACCGAAACAAGAAAATCCACTTATGACGAGATCGGTTCCGTGAGACCAGAATTTCACTATCAAATAGAGCTCCATTCAATCTACAATCGTTTGACTCCTGGTTACGAAAGGCAAAAAAATGTGCTCACCATTTTGTCTGATTGGCAGCCATTACATGAATTGCTTGAGGAGTCCACTCCATATCCATCCACGCGTCTACTTGTCCATCGTAGTGGAAGAGCATGATCGTAAAATTGTCTGCGGGGAACTGTTAGAGAGCTAGTGAGATCTACATAGGCATCATGGATAATGTACAAGATGAAAATGGTATCCACACCGTAAGTCTGGACAAGATTGATATTTTTCAAAATTACATGCAGAAAGCTGCGATTACGAAAACATTCCTTTACAGAATGTTCATTTTGATTGTTGGTTATCTTTATCACAACCATCTGTATCCAGATTTGGATTTGATAAAGATAAACCACTTCACCAGAATTCAAATGTTTTAACTACTTATCGAATACGTATAATCTGAAAATGCACCTTCTCGATACTTTTATCCACATTGCTTTTCTGCTTGATACCAACAGCCATAGCAAGAAGATTTTGAGACATGGCTGCATCCTGCACACAAAACAACGACCTTCAAGAGTTCATCAGTTTTTTTGAGGGATGTACTGCTCATTTGCTCCTGTCTAGATCAATAAAAGCACCATATTGTGATATTTTCTGTAGAACACATAAGAATTGACCCATATGCACCAACAACGAAATGATGAGAAGCGCTGAGCCAGAAAAAAGCGTGTGACAAATTAGAAAGCGGTTTGACTGAGCAGTTTAATTGAACAAACAATTGAGTTAGACAGTAGAAAAACAACAGTAGATCTGATGAAGCGAATCTACCACAGTGAGGAGATCACGTTCTTACGTTTTCGGAAACCTTCCATAAGTGTCTACGTTCAAGGTCTGAAGTAGCCTCCACTATTCCACTTGGCAAGGTTTCAGTACCCTCTCGCTTTCCAGGTTTCGGACATTCGTTCGGACGTTCTTTGACTGGTGAAGCTTGCGCTTGTACCTGCAAGCAGATAATCTTCATCATGCGTTTGGGTAGAAGTCCTAATGTTAAGTCAGATCTTCCGGACGAGAAACAAAGGACTTCCTGAAAATTAATGTGCTCATAGGTAACTCAGAAAGACGCGAAACTGCCCGCTACTCAAATTAGAAATAAGGTGCAAAAAACCGAAGCTCAAGGTACAAACTGGGTTCATCAGATGAAGCTCCTCTCATCCACCACACCTTGCAGAACCTACTGAATAGCAAGGTTCTATTGTGACAGAAACAGGATAAACACGGTTGAGTCCCATAGTGTTCCGAAATCAAATGATCAGAGGGTGCAGCACTGGCTTATAAAAGTGTCGCTTTATATTCTAACTGAGGTAAGTCTTACGTTTCCGGCAAAGACTGGGCGATTATTAGAGATTTTCGTTTGGTATTCTTGGTGCGACATCGTGATAACATGCTGTTTCATAGCGGGGTTCTCAGCGCATTTTAAATCGCCAGCACGCTCAGAACTGTCACGTGTATAAATGTGGTACTATCGAAGCACGAATGCTTTTGCAATTCGACTGCGTGTGGACGTTGAGTTCAAGAGAATCTTTACGTGGAGCATAAATTGTGGATGTGTTATGAGAGTTTTCCCTTCCGTATTCTTCACGCTACAAATAACATGCTTCACGCTATTCCGTATTCTTCACGCTACCTGGTAACATGCTTGTGCTGGCAGTGATCTCAGCACATTTCAAATCACTAGCACGGTCAGAACTGTCACGTGTATAATGAATATAGTGGCACCAAATCTCTTGCTATTGGACTGTGCGTGGACTTTTAGCTACAGAGACTCTTCACGTCTAGAACAAAATTCGCTAACCCAAATAGTCTTCCGAGATCAGAGACAATAACGATCATAGTCATGGCGATGAGATGAAAGGAGAAAAATATCAGTAATCTATTTCATACTGTCAATCCACATAATTTATACCTTTTTAAAATAGGCCAGAAAGCTTCCTTCCAATTCTTCACATCAACCTCAATCAACTCGAGCTAGATCCAGAGCTTCACTGCAATGTACAATTAGTTTGCCGAACCAGATCTCGGATGTCTTCATGCTCCGACGTCACGTCATGCAGTGTTCAAGATGCGCAGGCGTGGACTTTCCTAATCTGTACTTTAAAACACGAGTCGGGCATTGCAGCGGCAGTCCCTTGAAGAGATGAACCCCGCCGCGCGGACGACTTTGTCAAATGTTGGTCCTGCTATTGAGGTTGAGGATGATGCAGAGTTTGTGAAACTTTGCTTTCTTATACTCGAAAATTATTCTAATTATTGGCGGGCCTGGCAACTTCGCACAGGTCTGCAGAAACGGCAGCAGACGTGTTTCTGGTGGCGGGATTGGTGATGCTATGAGCTTTTATCTGGTGAATAGTCAGTCTGTCACGTTAGCTGTCTGTTATCCGACTCTGTCATCTTTGATCACCACTGCCATCTCCGTCTACGTTCTGAACACAATCATTATTTTCTATGGAGCATCTGCGTCTGTCCGCAGTTCGAGGAATATTGCCGAAGATTTGAGTTGGACTCACTCAAACAGGTTTTAACCTGTGACCCTTACTATAACTCTAATTTACAATCTTATGTGGTTCATCCAAAGCCTCAGTTCATCATTTACAAACACTTGGGTGAATAATTTCCATTTTATGCCGACCGTCCACATTTTGCCTGCTCCGGGTTACAGGCAATCTACAGCTGATGCTGCGCGTTGTTTGCCAGACGCTGACAAACCACTCAGTGGAGGTTTCCTTCAAGAAAGACATTTGCAGCCTCTCCGTCATATTGATGGAATTTTGCATCGGAAATCGCTGCCACCGCAGTTTCTCGAAAACAGCAATCTTACTACATCATGGTGTCTCTGGTCTCAGAAAGGGCAATCAAAGCTCACTCACAGGGAAGAGCGAAGCTTCAGGGTAGAGCATGAAAGACATTTGCAGCAGGAGATGAGAGTTTTACAGCTGCCACAAGTCTTCCATTGTCAGCGTGCTTCAGTATTCTCAGGTCTTCGGTCACATGGGTCCTGACACGGCCTTGAATTTGTCCTGAGAAACTGCGCATAAATGACCAGAGATTTGCAAAACACACAGAGACTGAAGAGGTGCAGCCTCTCCGTGATATTGATGGAATTATGCATCGGAAATCGCTGCCACCGCAGTTTCTCGAAAACAGCAATCTTACGACATAATGGTGTCTCTGGTTTCAGAAAGGGCAATCAAACCTTCGCTACCAAGGGAGCTCTCGCAGCAGGACCGAGAGGAATTGTCAATCACAAACAGTGAGGGGTATGCACAATGAGGCCCTTCTGTTCCACAGAAGCCACCGATTTCTTCCATTTCCATTCGCCGCGAGTTAATGGAGGATCGATCTTTCAACTCTACGCGATAAACGCGAAGCAGATATGAACCTCTCGCACACTCGCACACCACTCACTCATCGGTGGCGTCAGAAGCCGTCCAGGAATCTCCCACTCGCACATTGGCAGCCCATCTGCGGGCACTGGGCTGCTTCTCGACCATCCCCTGGTGCGTGAGTTCGTCAGGCGAAGCCTGTAATCTACATTATTTTGGCATTATAGCTGCGGGAACAGTTAGAATCCAATAATAATACATGAATAGAACAGAGTATCTGTTAAGCGTGAAGTAACATATCTACCATCTTTCTGCTTGTGAGTTAAGAAATAGAGTTAATGAAAATAACACATAGACAATTCATGTGTTTATTTGCCGTCCCATCAATCCAAAACTAATGTAATGCATAGTGAAATAAGATTTCATCTCATTGGTTTAAGAGTCAATGAGTATTTCTTTGTGTTCATGATCTAACAGATTTCATTGAGATTGATGGAGCTGACTTGAAATGTGTGTTAAGTGAATTAGCTGGTGCAGTCACAACTATGTTGATTTTTTAATATTTGGGAGTATGATATGTTTCATGTTTGACACCTCTTTTGAACAAAATGTCTAGTAGGCAATAGTAATGTACTCGTACCAATTAACCAGGTGGACTTTTGTGACAATGTGAATTGCAGTTATAAGACTGAAAAAGTATAATTATAGCTCGGGATGTCCTTATCTTAAACCCAATAATATCAAATTATGTTATGGATAAGATCTCTGCTTAGTTTAAGAGTGATCTAAGCTCCAATTGGAAGCTGTTGCTCTACAATTGTATTTATGATAATATGTGCCTGTTATGTTTCACGTGCATGAGCAAGATAGATTAGGTGGCCTTCCCTGTAGAGTAGCAGACAAATTAGGTGGATTAACTTGTACATTCAATATACATCTTGTGCATAAATCATTCCGAATAACACTTTCTCGGGTGATTCATTGACTCCACATTACCCCATGCAGAGTAATAAGAAATTATGGTTAGATTGCAGCAATCTTGAGCGTTCAATGGACGAGGCTATTGCTTTTGTCACGGACATGATCAACGAAATTGTCGTTTGCACAGTTGTAAATAGAATTATAAACAAGAACAATGATGGACTTAACCATGTTAAATTTTTTTCTTAATTGGATTGAAGAATCACTATTATCTAGCATTTAGCATCAGAATTATTTCTGAAGTCATGTATACCGCACAGTTTCCCTTGATTTGCAAGCAACTTGGAAAAAATGTTTCTTGAGAGGTTTGACGTTGAGCTCAGCAAGTATCATGCTGGTTCTATCAACTTCTATAAAACGCGATAAACAAGCAAGAGTGCTCGTAGCATGGACGAAATTCGAAATCAATTTCATGTTTGAGGTGTAGAGGACTCGAGACTCTGGAAACTAGAACTGTGCATGAGCTCACATGCTTGACAGTTGAGCTAGAAGAAAAATCATATCAGCAATCGAGAACCTCGATTGTGCTTCTACTCTGTTCAAAGTTATTCGAGATTATGTTTAGTAAACTTCCAGATAGCTTACCAGTTTGTTCCGAACCTACAAGTATGTAAAGTTATATAGACTCCTGTACCGATATTTAAAGAAAAGAGAAAGCACAAGAGGCATTGTCAACCAGGCCTACAGCGCATGTGCCACTGAGTTGTCAGAATCATCCACTTTCTTGCATAGATTAAAATAGAAGATGAACTTTGACATGTTCGTTGTCAGGTGATGACATGGAGTGTATCATCACACTGATGCATTCAGTGTATCCTGTTGGTTGAAAGTCAAGATCTACTTGACTTTCTAATACCATTGTCCAATCGCAGAGTAGGGAGGAGCAGGCTTTTTGAGATAGAATATTGTCGCTCCCTTGATCCTCACACTTTTCAATGACGAGATCCGATTGAAGACGGTGCATGCTCTTTCCCCACTTTTAGATATGAATGTGATTTTAATCAAATAAATAATGTGAAATACAAATAACCTAACGTTATTTGTTTGACAATCAAATAAACCATCATCACCACTAACAATAATGACTTTGCTTGCAAAAGTTTCTTGAAAGATTGCTCTCAATGTTTAGAAACAACAAATAATTCAAACAAAAATATCATATTCACTTTTAATGTTTGTATCATTTGAGTTCTAAAACATCATGATTTTTCTTTCGAAATGAATTTCGACTATAATATTAATTACCATGTAGTTTACATCAAGAAATAATTTTTTACAAAAAAAATTATTAATTATATATATATATATATTTGATTGAGAACTAATTTATGATGTCCATAGATATTATCCTAATCCAAATTTTCATTAATTACACTAAATATAAGATAAAAATATGAAATAAAACTTAAAACATAGATATATTTCTTTTCAAGAATTGTTCATATTTTTCAATTTTTTTTTCAACATTTTAATCAATTATAGATCAAAACAATTAAGCACAAAACGTTTAGTGAACAAAATGTATATGATGAAATTTAAGCTATCATATAAAATTTGAATATATATATGATATACTAATTGCAAGCATCTTTATTGATGTGTTTTTCAAAAAAAAAAACCTTCACACTATGCAACTTCAAATTTCTGAGTCAATAATTTGAATTTGAAAGATTATTTTGTCTTTTAAATAAAACTTTCTGCAATGCAATCAGAAATGTACTATTCGGATTTATACTGAAAAATGCTCTCATTCTCACTCACATCCCTAAATCCAAAATCTTCATGTATAAAAAAAAGAAAAAAATATAAATTCTCTAATATTTATTTGAAAATTTATATTTTATTATTTTTATTTAAATTAATAAAAAATTATTTTCATTATAATAATATAATTTAAATGCACGAAAATATTGAAATGTATGATTAACTATCTAAAAAAGCAATATTTGGCAACATATCATTCATTCACAAAATCAACATATTTAGCTTATTCATATTTGCATTGTTTTACAATTAGAAAATTGGATCCATTGCAGGAGGGATACGTTGAAATCGTG